CAAAAAGAGTCTCTGACGTGGCAGTCTGTTGGCTCTCCTGATTAACCACTAGCAATGACCAGACCACTTACTAGAGTTAAGACAGATCATAGAGTGTTTTATTGTTACATTGCCACCTCTGGAAGGTACCAAGGCTACATGAAAGCACTTACTTATCTATAACCCAGTAATCAAATAGCTGTAACGAAGTATGGAGATACTTGCCTGATTTTCTAAATGCTTGGGCATCTCATCAGTCAGCTGGGAAGAGTAAGGAAGCAGAGCAGGGATTTTGTCTCCCTTGGAAGACAAAAGCAAAGAAAGAGGTGCTCAGTGCCCTTACAGGCCTGGGTTTTATCTTCACTTTGTTTGTAACCTCAAAAACATGGAAGGACTTCTTGCTGTGTAGATCTGTAAATCTGATAATATTTTATTTCCTAACAAAATTAGAGGCATGGTAGAGATAGGCTTGAGGAGTGACTTCGTGCTTAGCCCAGACTGTTGTTTTAAATGTCAGTCTCTTGGGGGAGGTTCCTGTGCCAACAATTTTCTTCACAGGTTAGACGCTATGAAAATGAGTGAACACACCCCCAACTCGTAACTCAGTCAAACTTCCACCTCCATAAAACACAGCTAAAAGCTTACAAAAATTCACTAATAAGTAGAGCACGCAGCTTGGAAACAGCAAGGATATTTTATTTAAAACTGGATAAAAACCCCAAACCATCAGAAAGGAGTTGCTGCAGTTATATGCAGCACACCACACCTAGCAGACTGAACAGTAACATTACCATCTATAGCTATTTATTCAAGGCAGGGATCTGACCTTTCTGGGCTCATTTGTTTCAGCAAACTTTGATCATGCTACTCATGACTGCTCATACTCATAAGACTTGCAAGATTGGAACATCAAATAATTGCTGATAATGTAAAGAAAGTGTGATAGGAGGAACAATACTGTTTCTTACTATGTGATTATCTTTTTTTCTTTAAGACTCTAAGAGATCACTTTAATTATTTTGATCATTATCCTGTCAAAGGTACATTTTTAAATTGGCCACTGGACTGCCACAGAAAGGAGCTTTTCTGTGATCTTTGCAACAAATCTTAATGAATAAATTAAAACAGGGTACTATAGTTCTACTGAATAATATTATTGTAATTATTTTATTCCAGGTTTGTCAATGTCCACCCAATAATTCTCTCAGTTGTATGGAGGAAATGCCACCCTGCAGGTTGGAGCAACAGATCCAGACTGCTTCAGGGGTTGGGTGGCTTCAGTCTTGTCACTTGACCCCAAAATGACACCATGTTCTGACCTATAAAATGAGGACAATAAAATCTATTCACCTTTGTAAACACTAGTGTAACATATGGTTGAATAGCAGTATGTAAATTTAAAATCTTAATTAAACTGAGGCAGAGTGCCAAGTAATCACAAAGCATACGCTACTTGAAACAAGCTCATTAATAGTTCTGCTGCTGGAACCAGTTTTTTAATGGCTCAGTAATAAGCTGACAGTACCGTCTGCAAAACCGCAGTTCTTGATAATTTTTTTAAGTATATAATTATATTGTGATAATGGCTTGAACTTGTGTGTGCACATGTCACAGAAAAGATACCTCCAAACAGTTAACAACCTAAGACTTAAAATCTATTCTTGCTTATTCCCAATTAGTATCGGTCTAACTCTACAGTCAGCTGTGTTATAAAAAGGAATGAGGATACCCAGCACTGCAGTGGTACTTCAGTAATATGTTTGATCGGTTACTTTCTGAACCATCAATTGAAAATGTACAATCAATGTATGTCCCTGACTTTCTTCCCCCACATGCTACGCTCACCCAGGACTCCGAGCAGACAGACAGTTTCATTTTCTCTGAGACGACATGAATCTGCAGGTAGGACATCACACTTAATTAAGCATGTGTCTTCATATGCAATGACATTATATACATTTGAGTGGAGTACGCTGCTCCTTCATTCCAAGCTGGTTTTGTTATAAGATAACATCAGCCAGTGGTTTCACTACTGACAAATGTTGGATATTAATCTCCCTCCCTCCCTGTTTCCTTCCAGCACACTATTAACCTAGGTTATCCACTCAGGGAACCCATTTTTAAGCCCCAAGGTAGAATTATATTTCTAATTTGCAAAAGCACAGTTCTTGCCTAACTTTTCTCCGCTACAGCACAGACATGGATCTGCAGTGGCATACAGGTTAGGGGATGGCACCCCGTAAGATCTAGCTCTGGCCTTCACCTCTGGCTGCTACGCTTCATTATCTCTAGAAATGAACCAGATAAACCAGCACACGCTGTTCCTCATGTGCTTTCCCGTTCAGCTTCTCATTCAGGTCTCCTGTTGAGCAAACAGTCCAGCTGGAATTTGCTGTCCACTCACATGCCTATAGACTTGACCGGACTTAAGAGCCTCATGCTCTCCTCTCAGCTTTGACTTTTCACAACAGCTACCTACGACAGGAAAAATGAAACAGGCCTAGGAGTTCAGGAGACACATGTCACATTTTAAATTAAGTTCTGTATAGAAAGCGAAAGATTCCTTTCAGGGCTGTTTCCTAAGTCTACGCCAAATCCAATATAGTGAAACTCCAACCCTGGATGCAGTTCCCCATGGCTACTGCAGCAACAGCAGTAACCACAATCATTATAATGGAATATAAAAATGTATATATTTATCTTTGCTTCAATTACTTTGTGCATCTGTAACCATAGTGCATTCATAGACAAAAGCTAAAAACCTATAATCGTAAATGAAGGAACCACTCCACCATCAAGGAAGACTGAAGGTTGTAGTTTTTCCATTTTAAAATTGTTAAGAAGCTGCTTTTATGCTATTTCCAATGAAAGAAGGTTACTCATTTATCATAAAGACTAAGCAATGCTAAGGAAGTCTTTACTGAATATACCAACACTGGACCATCTTTGAGACTATTTATGAAAGGAACGTTCAATGCATGAAAAATGAAATGAGAGCAAAAATAGTCACAATGACAACATCCCTGCAACCAAAACCTTTCCCTCAGCTTCAACGTTGGTTTAGCAAAGTAACAGGGATGCCACTCATTTGTTTTCTGCTGTTTGCAGAGATGTCAGCCTGAAGTTATTTCAGTTATTACACCTGCCAGTGAGACTCTACCGCCAATGGCTGTGGTTTTACGAGGAAGTTGCCTCTTTCCATTTGCTCAGCAAAATACTTCACCAACCCAAGTACTTCTGCACCATCCTAAATCTTTCAGAATTTGAAAAATAAGAGATTTTAATCTCTGTAATGCCTTTCATTTTCAGTTACTAGGAGGCAAAACATTCTTCAGTGTCTCCTTCTGTGAAATTTATGGGTGATTGATTAACTCTATTACAGAGAAAATATTCAAGCAGCAACTCTTTCTGCTCACCAGAAACATGAAGCTACAGGCCTTGCATTTGAAGCAGATCATTGCATGTAAAGAAAGCACTGTGTACGCCTGGGCCTCAGGGCAAGGGATGAATAGCAGATCTAGGAAAATCTCCTTATCTCGAAGACCAAGAAAATGGTAACAGTGGCAGGTGCTGTCTGTTAGTACCAGGGAGGTAAAGACTGTACAAGTTCAGTGAGTTGCTGACCTGTCCACCCAAGTGGAAATCAAGGCCCCAGAGTAGGACTCATGTGTGCCTATGTAGTATATCCAAAGAGCACAAGTAACTCATGCACCCTGTGTGTCTCCTACGTGCTGAAAGATCCCAAGGAGTGCTCCTGACCAGATGCTGCCCTTGGTTTTTCACTTTAATTCTGCTGCATTCATGCTTTCCATCCGTTCAGTGCAACACTAAAGAATATGGCAGGTATCTGTTGAGCGGGTCAGCAATGGCAAGTCCCTGTTATCCCTTCAAGGCCCATACAGTGTCATTCTGACGGGTCACACTGATGCTCTTGCAACTGTGCAGTGACACCTGACTAGATCTGTATGCTCTGAGGACAGATCTCTTTCATCTTCATCTCACACCTGTGTTACGCCCCTCTGTGCTAATCCAGAGGTAAACTGCTGAACCTGGGGCTGGTAAAGAGCCTGGAAAAGGCCTCTTTAGGCAGATCTCTGCAGAAACAGGGTACTCTTCTATTTTCCATGCAGAAGCTGAGTTCAGATAGGGACTAGTGATTTTTGAGGAGTCCAAGGCAAGATTATCCTCCATACACATCTTTGTAGAGAGAATGGAGCAGAAGGGCAGCAGTCAAGCACGAAGCTGGGGTAGTATTTTGCACCTATGCCAACTTTTTTTATCTTGTGAAGCATTTCATGGGGTATTTTGTATTCCTGTGCTGCCAAGAGTTGTGTTTCTAAACTCACATTTGAAGTAACTGGGTCTTCCCTCTCTCCTTTGGCCATCCAACACTTCCTTGTCTAACAAACTTGAAAGTCACTTGCTCATCCCCAGAGATCCTTAGAGATGCACATGGAAAGGTCCCAAAGAAGGGGATGAGCGCCAGAAATCCCATCTTTCCCCAACAACCCTTGTTGGTGTAGTTACCTAGAAAGCCATGCCCTTAAACCATCATGACTACAACTACACCTTGCACGGGAGTAGCTCCACTCGCTCAGGTCACGGCTGGGATAAAGGGCACGATATAAACCCTGCTTAACGTAAACCCAGGTCCTTTGCCTTGGCCTAGTGGCTTCACGCCAAGGCGCTGGCACTGCACCCGGCAGCGCTCCTCGCAGGACGGTGCTGCTCCTTGCCGCGGGGAGCTTCTGTGGTGTCCCCCTCCAGCCGACGGCACCCCGACCTCCCGGCCGAGGCGCTCCCCAGCCCAACCGCGCACCGCAGGCCCAACTCCCGCACCCCGCAGCATCTCAGTCAGCGACGGCAGTGCCGTCCTGCCTTTCCTCCTCCCCTCTGTCTGCCCTACCGCTCCCTACCATCCTCCCGCACATCGGGGCCCGGGCCCCGCTCAGCGCAGGACCCCC